CAGGACATGGGGCAAAAATTGGGGGCCTGTTGAGCTCAAGCTTTATTGAGGAGTAAGAGACCAAAGAACTACCCTGACAAAGCTGCTCCATGTCTACTAGTACTAAAGTAGTTACTTTAGCTACCCTAAACATAATCAGAGATCTCAGACTGGACTTAACCCTACCTTTTATTCTTCCAAGGAATTTGGATTTTGTAGTTGTTTATGCTCCTTCTTACCATGCTCCAGCAAGGAGCCAGTTCTTGTAGCCATTCACCAGCATTCTTGGCACACCGTAACAGTCCAGATGCCAAGCTTTGAATTCTCATCTTCTTCCCCTGCCTGCTATAGCAGCAATATCCGTGACAGTGGTTGCTTCCTGGCTGGACTCTTATCAAGGCTTCTCTGACTTTGTGGGTAACTCAAGTGCTGTTTCTGATGACAGCTGTTGCACTGGTGCAGAACTAGCCATCTGGTGACTGACTTGTCCTCTTGGACACTATTTTCTCCCAGCTGTCAGGAATTTACTGTTGGACTGGAAATAATTTGGTATGTAAATACATTCTTCGTAATATCCAAGCTATTACTTCCATGGGCAATGCAGTTGTCTCATCACAATTTCCATACACTGGTGCATCCAGAGCCACCTCTGTATGAGGATGGATGGGTCTGACCACTCAAGCCCAGTATGCTTTTCAACAGTTTCAGGCCTCCAATTACAACCTTTTAACACTTTAGAGTTAATAAACCCTCCCTAGCATGTCTGTACTTCTGTGCTCCAGCAGTGGGAATACAGATCACCCCAGACTTCTGCTTCTCTGAGGTCTAAAAAGAGACTTACACCATTTAACTCATATAGTTACCATTCATTCTTAGCTGGCCTGACCCAGAGGCTGCTTGCTCTCTCTGTGCATCATGCCTCTGATCTGCAGCCTTCTTATCACTGCCTCTTAGACCCACAAGCAAGAACTGAGGGCCTCATTAATGTTCTTGTTCCCCACAGACAGAACACAGAGGGTCTACTGCTCAAGAATGTACATTGCATTTCATCTTTTTTCCCTAGTGCATAACTTTTATCAGACTAAAAATTTACTAATTCACAATAGCATTTGTATCTTGAGGGAAACATAACTATCTATGGCTTCTTAAGACTGTTAACCTAATGATTATCCTGCAAGCTATAGCTGTAGAATCCATTTCTGTTCACATATCTAATTTCTCATTTAATCATCTCATTTGCTTCATTAGAACTTGAGGTAACGAGTCCAGAAAATTATGTAGAAGTGGGGTTTTGCATGTGAATTTTTGATATGATCCTTTACCCATCAGTGGTGTAATCAAACGTTTCCATTCTTCAGGAAAATAAAAAAAAATAAAAAAAAAAAAAAAAAAATCAGTCTTCTAAATACAAACATAAGCAGCCACATTGTTCCATTCTGCTTCTTAATGGAGGCAATTTTCCTCAAGGATGGCTTAGTGATGTTTTCTGACACCTAACACTTCATAAGGTTGAGCTTTTCGTTTTGAGGGTTTGAGGGTTTCAACTGACGTGCAGAGAATGCAGAGTTCGTTCAATACATATAGACTGGGACAGCAATAGTTCACAATCAAAAGTTAATTTGAATGACGAGAATTACTATATAGATTTAAATTTCTTTCAGCTTCATTCCCCTGAGGCAACAGCTTTAGTCACTACCACCAAATGCTTCCTAGTGGGCTGCACAAGATTACTTCCACCCAGAAACTACCAGGAGAAAATTAAAGACAGACAGACAAAAAAGAAGAATGTAAGAGTGCCCATGCCTGTAGTTTTTATTGAAAATACAGACTGCCAAATCCCGGATGCTTGCATTTTCAAAAGACAACGAAAACTGAAGTATTAAATTTAAAATCTCTGTTAAACAGAGAAAAGCATACCTTTCCCAGAGAAACATAGCAGGGGTTTTTGTTTTACAAGCTCCATTTCATCTCTTGCTAAGGAAAGGAATTATTTTTACAGCCAAATAGCCTGTCCCCTTCTCCTCACCCTCACTAACCATGTGGCTGAGTTTTTATGCTACCAGCCTCTCAGCAGCAGCACAGAACTCCTACAGCTTCCTTGGCTATTCAGATATTCTGCATAGTTCAGGCAATGCCCAAATCTAGCACACAGTTTGCAGCTGCCCAGTCCTATGCACCCCTCTTGCATTGGCATTTTCTCCTTCCTCTCTGCTTCTACCACACCAAAGCCGGCAAGAATTGTCAGAGGTCAGCCTGCACAGAGGAAGTTCAACCTGATGGACACACAGCTCTTCGGTTGTCTAAAGTTCTCCCCTTTTAGCAGGGTGTAAGAAAGGTTGCAAGGGTATAAGGTCAGTACTTTAATGTCCTCCACAATTAGTAACTTACAGAAAGCAACCTGACAAGAACAGTTACCTCTCAGGGTGTTTAGAGGTGAGGGGACGGGGTTGTCCTACAAGAAACCCATAAAGAGAAAACAGCAAATGGAGATGCCATGATCTTCATTTTATGCAAAAGCTAGATTGACGTGTTTTTGGGACACAAACCATGCAAGCACACTACCAGCTATGAAGCCACAGCCCTCCACTGCCTCACCAGAAATGTATCCTGGGCTCTGCTCAGCTCCACTCCTTCCAGCTGCCCCTTGGCAACCTGCTTTCCTGCATTTGTAACCCCTCTCTCCCCATCCTCTGTGTCGTAATACACTGGTAACAATAACATTTCTGAAATCAAAATGCTTCTCAGGCCAAAAAGCTGAGCTCAATCAACACAGGGGGAAAGCAAACCATGGAGAGCTATTGTTTCTGAAAACCATCCAAAAAACTTTTGGCGCTTCAAGGCATTCCTAATGTCCTTTGCACTATTTCCAGGAAAAATGATTCCCAGGGCCTTGCATATTAAAAAAAAAAAAAAAATAATCTGGCTTATATCAATAAACATGATAACTGCTGTAGTTTTTCTCTTTAATCAGAGCACAGCTAGCAGCACAAGCAATCAGAGCTGAGTAGAATAGCCTGTTTTAAGTGTAGCATTACAGAATTCTCAAATCCTCCATAGGGGAGAATAAATTAATTCCTGGGACACCTGAACCTGAGCACCATCTTTTATTACATTTATGAAACACAAGTTCTTAAAGAATATTTGTGGACAGATGCTGGTTAAAGAAGTGGTAGAAAAGGCAAATGGGCAGTTTTTCTGACCAGATCAGTTTATTCAACTTGTCTGTATTGTGGCAGAAGCACTGCCTTCAACAGTGGTTGGGTTGCAAGCCTAGAAATGGGTTTGCTGGTTCTGATCATAAGTCCTAACATCCTGACTTCCAACGGGTCATTCAAAGCTCAGTGAGGTTGCAGGGGGAGGCTAAAGGATTTACAGCAAATGAGGGGTCCATCTACCTTCCTTATCCTCTGCTTGATACAGGGAATTTTATTTGCAATTAAATTGTAAATTAAACTCAAAGACAGAGGTAGCCTGGGACAACATCATGGGCAAGAACATTGAACAAGTAGCAAACCACTGGCAATCACCACTGAATTATTCCCATATATTGTCTTTACTAGCTTTGCAGTATAAGAAATGTTGCACTTATAACCCAATACAAACAAGCAAGAATTTGAAAGCATCTCTTGTTCAGGATAATAGAATATGTTTTGTCTCATTTTAGCTATTCAGTAAGCTGAGAAACCCCTGTATTCTCTGAATTATAAGGTGTTCTTGCAGTGTTACATAGTCAAATGAAAAAAGCTTTGAATGTCTCTATTCTTCCTGTCCACAGGCTCTAAAGTGGATGGCTTTGGAATGAAGAACTTAGAATAAAAACATAGGCGATCAGATGTACTTTAAGATTTTACAGATAAAGGAAAGTCTTTAGGATTTAGGAAAGGCGTGAAGAAAACATGGCCATAACTTTGTAATTTATTTATCCACTCCCTGCTACAGGAATCGTATTTTGGAGAAATAAGCAAGAGTCTGCTATCACTGTGGTATCAGTGAGAAGCTTATTGCTTGTTTTCAGATTGTACACCACTTGCTGCCTCTAACACAGTCCCACAGAACAACCGCTATCTTCATGGACAGGCACTGTGCAATGCAGTAGCCTTTTAAGCATATTTCACAAAAAAAAAAAGAATTATAGGTTACTGAATTTTTTTGTTCTTTTTTGTTTTCTTTTTCAAACAAATGCGGCACTTCCTCATGCTCTACCTCACATCTCTATCACCTCTCTACCTATTAGACTTCCCAAACACTTAACCTTACTGCAGTATTTGAATATTTTATTTTCAGAATGATTGTGAAAACCCTTTACATGTTATCAAAAATTAAAGATCTACTAAAAGCATTCCCTTGTTTAGCCAATTATACCCCCCAAAACTGTGATTTAACAAATATTATTAAAAATACATATTCAATGTATTACTCGCATTCGGGGAAAAGGGTTGTGTTGGGAAATTGGTTTGGGGTTGGGTTTTGGTGAGTTTTTGGTGTGGGGCTTGGGGTTTTTTTGATTAATTAATAGCTTTGCAGCTGCTCTACTTCAAACATCTCAGCCTCAGAAATATGAGACTAAGTATTGGGAAAACCTCATTTAGTTATATCTGTGCATAGTTAAGTTTTCATGTAGCAGCTAATCCCAACGTTGGTAAGCCCTGATGGCGCTACTGGGTAATGTGATTCCCATGCTTGAGGAGTTAATGCATTTGGGACATCTCAGTTATTGGAGCCAAGAGAATAAACTCTTCTGTGTTACTGCTTTTATAAATACAGACCCCAATTCATTCTTTTAGTAATTTGTCCTCAACAAAGGACAAACTACCATCACCTTTGTGAAGAATGACACTAAACCATGAGGCAACTCTGAACCAATACAGAGCTGAAAAAATATTTCATCCTTTCAGGGAAGAAATATAGTAGCTTTATAATTACTAGCAAAAAGCTCAGTTAAGCATAAAAGTTGGCTTCATAATAAACAGTAACAGTGACAAAACTTCGGATCTAATCTTATTTCCTTTCCTTCACTGCAGAGACCCCTTGAAAAGCCGGATGGCTTGGATGTTTCAGATCAAAGCAAAGAACACCCCCAGCACCTGTGTGAGAAGTGCAAAGTTTTGGGCTACTACTGCCGCCGTGTGCAATAAACCTTCAAAGTGGCCTCTTCCCATCCCCATCATCCTTGAAGATCCTCTGGCAGCATGCGATCAACAGCAACACAACAAATCAAGATAAAAGCTAAAATAATTGCCAATATTGCCTATCTAATAATATGCCTTACCATTAATAGAATGTAACATTTCTCCTGTGCATGTGCACACATGCAACAGGTATTTACAGGACTATGATTTGTATACATACATATATATATGTCAATGTATATGTATATGTACACACACATATATAAAGCGTTACTGATAGTGTTCACAAGAGAACCACGGTTGCAGGTTCTGCTGATTGTTTACACAGATCCTATATCATGGCCAGGTGAAATGAAGTACTATTCAATAGGCAAGGTATAACATTCACAAGGAACATGTATGTATGGCTTTTGCAGAGGTTAAATAACTGTGGGGCCACTAATTGCAAGCACTCGCCCACGACATGAACGTTATTCCTATTATATGACAAGACAAAGGAAGATGAAACAAGCCACAGCATAAAAGAAGGAAAAATGTTTTCCCAGCTTTAGAAGGTCTGAGAATTATGTGCTGCTGATTTCTTGGACCTTTTCTATTTGTCACCATCGCATGCGCAGGGCTTAGGCAAAATCATTTTTGCAGAATCTGGCAAAAAAAAGTGAACAATTGTTTGAGGGTGTGGGTTGGGTAGAAAGGGAATGCCATAATGGGACCCAGAGCATCAGGAAGTATTCCAAGAGGTTTTTGGAGGAGACAAAATTGGCTTGCTTATGCAACTAACAGATCCTTCTCTTGTCATATAATCCCACTGAAACGGTCCCTGTGTGTGTATGGGTTGCTTATTAGGCCACAAGGACACTAAATTTACTGTGAATAAGGGGGGATAAGAATACTTCAAACTGTCCTCAAAGCTCTTAATTGAAAGATTAGCCAAACTTATAATAGTTTTAAAGCCACTTTCTGGAAATACTTTTATGTCCTGTTTTCTACTGTACAAATCTGTTATAAAACTTGTTAGCCATAGGGGTGTTTTGAGGCATGGAGAACACTCCTTAACTTTCCCTCTTTGTCTTCCTGAAGCACCTACGTACCTGAGGAGAGATATAGGAGTTATATTTCATTGTCCCATTTCAGGGAGAACTTTGTGCAGGGTCATCCTGCTGCAAAGAAGTATCTCATCAGGGACTGGAAATATCATGAACTGAAAGTACCTCGACACAGTATCTTGTTTTTACATCTACGTAAGAGTACATTGGCAAAAGGACACAATAAGCAATTCACTTGCAGCATTCACTAAAAAACTTACAGGGATGATGTTTGTTTTTTTTTTTTTTTAATCAACAATTTCTATTTTTATGAACTTTCCTTTAGAGAAATCAATTTATGTGAATGATACTTAGTGGAAATACTTTAAATCCTCTAAATAATTTGATAGGAATTAAATATATTTTGAGGATTAATTCCATAACATTAAGACAGCAGAGGGTTTATGCCAGTCGATAACAGGATGTACAGTCAAGCTCTTTTGTAAAGCTAATTGAAAACTTAGCATTTGTACAGGAAATGTGAAGCTCTTCACAAGTTTGCTCTAGGGTACAACTTCTGCCGTTTCCTTGCTTTGCTATAAGCAGGGCAAGTTTGTTCCTGCTTGTTCAGGTGGTCATGTACATATCTTGCAAATGTTATTATTTATGAGTAGCCCAAATGACCCAACCTACTGGCGGAAGCAATGAGTAAACATTGGGACTCCCAGCTTCTGACCACAGTTCTTCCATAAGCTCCCTGATTTTGGGCAAGTCATAAGATCGTTCTGGACCTCAGTTTCCCCAGCCGCAAAATGAGGATAATAATACTTTAGTATACCTACCTCACAGGAGAGTTGTGAGGTTCACTTAGTATCTGTAAGTGTTTGACATCACTGGATGAAAAATGCTATGTAGTGCTAAACCAGTATTAACTAAATTAATGACTTCAAAACTAGTTTTGTCCAACCAGCAATTCCATCAACTAAAGTAGCTGAAAATATTATTGAAAGTTAACACTAATAGCAGTATAGTTACCTCAGTGAATAGATGCAGTTTTAGCATTATTGCATAGAAACACATTCTTTTGCACAGACTCAGAAATTACCTTAGCGACAAACTCTCTATACAAAAATACTAATCTGCCCATACATATAAGAAAATACACGGGCAGATCTAGGGGTAGGTTTTTCAAAGCTTGACCTCCAGCAATTAACATCGATATTTTGTTTCAAGCACAAGTAATTTTGGAAGAGCCGCATACTAAACCAGATTTATTTTTTACTCTTCAGTACTTAATAGTACATAACAAAACACCTTGATGCTTCACATCCAGCTAAAGGACATGCAGAGAAACCCCCTTAAATGAAGATAAGGGAAAATGTTATTTTATTTTCTCCCTGAAACGAAGATGTTACTATCATACTTTTTTTCTGTGTTGAATAATTCCCATCTTGCAATAACCACTAGATCAGTAAAATAACACATCCCTTAATGCAGCTACATCAGCATACAGCACACAGCCAGGTTCTGAACAAAGGCCAGCTAAAAGATACCATTACGTGCTATGTTCATGACAGTGCCCAATTAAAAAATTATTTATCCAGGTTCAATACTATATGGCAATGCCTTTAGCTTACGGATTTTTAGGTTGTACTAAAAATACATGTGAACTACTTTAACACAATTAATAGCTATAGGTGTAGAATAATAATTCTTAAGAGCATACTTGTAAAGAGTTCAATATTTATATCACTGATATTTTCCTAGGCAGCAGACGTAAAAGTCTTTAAGTAGTATTTAGCACATTTAAAATAAAGAGAAGAATAGATTTTCCCCTGCACTTACGCTGGGGAAAAACAGGTAAAGAACAAAACATGTGGAAAAGCAAGAAGCAACACTGCTGTAGTTGGTTCTGCCTAATTCAGAGACTGCAAGTCCATCCCAGTGTGGGATGCAGATGTGATACCCTGGGCACCCCAGTGCTGGAAGCTGCCTGCTTGCCTTGTCATCCCTTCCAAAAGTGGGGTGTGGGGGGGAGAGTGGCTGGAGATCCCTGGGGAGCAGCAACAACCGTCCTTCCCATGCAACCATGTGGCTCAGCTCTGCCTTCCCCCCAGCTGTGTTGGGGCATCTCCTTGTTTTCAGTCCTGGCTGCACAGGGCTGAAGCCTCATCTCCCTAAAGGCCAGCAGCAGTGCCAAGCTACATGAGAGGGGAGCATTCTTCTGTCCCTCCCTGCATGAGCTTTGCTTGTAGGATTGTAGCATTCAGCTCTGGGCATTTACTCTGTGCTTGTCTGTATATAGTTTGTGGGTTGCTGGAAAAAAAAACACGTCCACATGCATAACATACAGTAGCTTATGACCATTGGTGTTTTGTTAATGGCACAAAAGGGAAGTTTCTGAATTTTTAGGTCAAAAAAGAAGAAAGAGATTGATTAAAAAATGTAGAATGATTTATTTTGCTTTCTGTGCACCCCACCTTCTTCAAAGGTAATTCATGGATTTAACTAACTCATTCCAAATTAGAAAAACCTTAAAAATTCACTCCCCCCCCCCCCCAAAAAAAGAGGAGTTTTTACCCCTGAGATTTTTCTGAATGCTTTCTGATGTTCTGTTTAACCAACTCTGCACATGTCAGCTAGTAATCCTTGAAGGCATTTTTAGACAGTCGTACCAGAAGTGAAGCAAGCATCAGTAAAAAACGTTTTCATTTTTAATCAACATAGGCCTTCTTAAATTGAGTATTGCTTAGAGGTGTACCCAAGAGAAATACGTCAAACTAGATTTTTAAGCTCAGATGTTGCCTACCAATCCATGCAGCACACAATACTGCTTTTTTTTTCTCCTTTCCCCTTTTTGTGGAGATTTTGAAGCATTCAATTGTTTCTTTATAGAAAACAAGCACTAAACACATTTTGTTTCCTCAGTTGGTCAGAACATTTCACAAGGAATTTGTGTTTGGCATTGGCACTGCTCTGGAGAAAAGTATCAGAGATTTGAAAGGTGTGGTGTAGGTTTTTAGCTGCTTTAACTTGATGTTGAACTCCAATGAAGTTGTTACAAATACTTCATTTAATCGTGATGAAGAAAAAACTCCCTGTAGTTTTTAAAGGATGACCCCATTTTAGCCAGTTTCTACTGCTGCTACCACAGACATAAAATGATGCCACACAAGCAATGGTTGAGGCCTTTTTGTCCAAATGTTGCTTTTTAATCCGACAAATACACAAGAGTATATATTATTTCTGGAAACAGGTGTATTTTGAAGTTCCCCATTATATGGGAATTAGTTTGTAAACTAAAAATGTGAAGTTAAGTATGCCTGAGAAGCCTTATGCCAAGAAGTATTCTCTACATTATACGTTTTTGTATAACATGAAATTTAGATTATACATGGGTTACATACCCGTGATGCTCTAGCAGTTATTCCAAAAATAGAACTACTTAAAACATTTAAGTTAAGAGCTTTTGGAGATGTCAAATTTCATAAGTTAGCTCTCTTTGTCCTGCAGTCACGTAGAATATTTTTTTTCCTACTATGGACCCAAAGAGTTGTCCACTGAACAGTATGCAATAAGTCACCAACATGTGCATTTCAAGTTAAGTGAACTGACACACATTTTCCACTTGCCTTTGCCAACATATGTTAAAATGTGATGGAACTATCCCCATACAAAAATCATTCTTTAAGATATCACTCCACTCCCAACTGGGCTTCAACCCAAATCTCTTTCCTACCTGCAAAACCACTGCTGTCCGTTCAGTTTGCTACATTGCTAAGTGCTCAGAGGGCTGTTTGAGATCTTAGATATAGGGATGATGGTTTGTGTTTTCTAGGATGAATTTCAAAGGGACAATCGTGTGCAGTTACTAGCTATAGATGATTGATATAAATGTTTACCCCTGTATGAAGTATTTTACAGTTTTACTTGCAGATGTGTATTTATCTTGAGTTATACTTGACATAGAGTTTCTTTCAATTTTTTTTTTTTTTTTAATACTATGTGTGTATTTTGGAAACCTTTTTAGATGTTAAAATTTTTGAATGGTTACAAATATTTCTTGTAATACTGAATTGTTATCTGGAAACTCTTTGCAGTAACTTTTTTGTATATATTTGAGGGCCTTTTTAAAAAAGTATTGTTTGTTTTTTGGGGGGAAGTTTTTACAATTTGGAAGCTTTCAGAAGGGCCTTCCTCTCAGCTAGGATACTAACAGAGGTAAGAGTTTTCTTAAGTATTTTGCAGAACTAAGGATGTATCCTCAAGAAAATATTTATGGAAGTAATTTACCTTTTTTTTTTTTACAATGCTTTTGTCTGTATAAAGTATGCAACAGAACTACATTAAGAAGGAAATATTGTCTACATAAAATATTATATGAAAGTTGGTACATAATTCTGACAAAAACCTTGCAATTCTTTAAGCCATATTGTTTTTGTTATCCTTGGATGAAAATATCAGTATTAAGTAACCAATGTATTATTCAAGTGCTTAGACTTATATAAAAATGCTTATACAGTTTATTTATGTGTATTTGGGAAAGGATTGCTAGAAAAAGCTATCACTAGACATAGAGCAAGTGAGGAGCAAATAACAGTATACTGTCACTTTATGGCCTTGTGAGAGACACAGAAGATGCTGAAAGCACCGTAGAGACTTGGCTCTCAGAAACTCCGAAGCACAAGTGTTGGGTTTCAAATGGTGGTTCTTTCCCATAACCGGAGGGGAAGAGAGTTGGTTAGGACACTGTTTGACAACTTGACTTTCACAACTCTTTTCAAACTGTGAGCTCAGCTATGCAGTATCGGCTACAGCAATAATACCAATCAAAGGATATAAGAAAAGGATTGAAGTAGATGATTGTAGGAATTTATGTTTATTTTAATTAGAACTCATAGCAATATAGATTATGCATGTGCACGTATTTGAAGCATTTTTACACTTTACATTTCATGTAGTTTGATTATATTATGAAGGATTGGGTTTTTAGTTTGATATTTTACCATGCTAAACTGGGATGTCTGCCCAACCCTGTACTGGATTCTTGTTTCCTTTAAAAGGTTATTTAGTACAGCACTCACTGCGTTGTGTACTAGTGCTAAAACTAACACTGTATCTTACGAATTTCTTCAGCTTTAAAAAAATTAACCTAATGATTATTACATTTGTTTAGCTGTACCCACTGTCCTTGTCAGATTCAGTTGGCAATTTGTACAATTTCTTTTTCTGTAATTGTTATTAAACTTGTACAGCTAAAACAAACAAACAAAACCTATGGACAAAGGCCTCAGAGGTACCAGTTCTGCTTCACCAATCAAGATGACAGCTTACTCATCTATTGACTGTGTTGCTAAAGAGACTGTAAAACCTCTGTTGTGGATTGTCCATAAAATGGCATTCCGACATGTGCCTTATTTGCTGGATAGTATACAGCTTTCTTGTAGTATTCTAGCATTTTAATGCTGTATTAAAGTACTGGAAAAAAAAAAAAAAAGCAAGAGAGTGATATGGTTTTGTTGAATGGTCCTTCCTTTGAAGTTTTACTACCAGCTGTGTTGGGTTCCTGGTTGTGGACTGCCCAGCTGCAGCCTGGTGTTTGCACTGCAAACTTGGCCCAGCATAACCATGATCCAGATCAGGTGAAGAAGTTCCTCCACTGCAGGCAGGCTCCTAAGCTGCAGTAAGCCTGATTGCATCCTAGGTGATTTCACCCAATATCTCCTTTGCTACTGGAACAACTTGGGTTAATGGTGCCAGCTCTTAGTTTTTTATCAGCCTGGTACTGTCTAGCATTCATCTGAAGGAAAAACCTCCTATAATCGGACAAAGTACACTTCTATCCTTATAGTTGGATGCGAAGGCTTAGGTGCCAGAACACTGACAGAGTGAAATACAACATCAGTTTCAAGTCATTAAGCTTTATCACTTAAAGTTTAGGGGATTGGATCTAGCTAATTCTTTGCTAACAGTAGAAGTTGGTAAGAACTAGATCTACTAAATGCTCATTAGCAATGCTGTCCTCCCATCCCCAAGCAAAGGTGAATAGCAAGCAAGTTTTCTATTGAGACTGCCAATACTGTTGTGATTGACAATTAAGGATGTCATGAAACTTTGGACTTGAGGTATCCTACCTCTGAGAGATCTCCTTCATTTAAAACAAGCCAAAAAAAATAATTGTCATAGCAGCACACAGTTGTTCTTTGCCAGCTCACCCCTACAAGCATGGTGCATATTTGATACTTGGAGTACTTTACCATAGTGACAAGGTTATATCACATAGTAAGCCTGATTTCTGGGAGATTCTCATTCAGGCTGCACGAGAGAAAAGAAGAACATGTGCATGCACATGTGTGGATGGGCATGCAGGATGGGGGGGAGTGGAAGGATGTGTGTGACCAAGGAATCTGATGCCTTGAAAAAGTAACTATTTCATGAAATGATGAAAGACATGCTTCCGGCTGAGCCCCATGGAAAGAAAAAGCACACATTCAGAACTAGTTGGTAGATTACTGTTTGAGGCAGATTACTGCTTTTCAATATAGCACTGTTCCTATAGCAAACAGAAGCCACAAAGCCAAGCTCAGAACTGAAATTCATCTTTCCACCAGAACAAGGGGGGCTCCCAGACAGCAACACCTCAGATACAGCACTCCACCAAGACCAGAAAAAACACTGAGTAGACCAACTGCAAAGTTCTAGCTTCCTATTACCATATTTCTGTGATTCCCCAAAGAAATAACTTCTTCATGTTTAAAACAGAAGTAAATTAACACGAACAATATGGCATCAACAAAAAATATCAAACTACTTTTTCCTTGCTTTTCATTGCCAAATGCTTCACCTTCCTGTGCTGTGTGAATGAGGTCAAGAGACAATGCAACACCCTGCTTGTAACAAAACAACCAAATAATGGTCATTTTAAAAGAAATAATGGGGATTTAACATAACATTGACACTTTGAAATAAAAAGCTGTTTTGTTATTCTTCATGGAAAAGCAATTTAAAGGTACACTGAGGTTACTATTTTTAGTTAGTTAGTCACATCACACAAAAAGCCCCATCTAAGGTCCTCCCAGGATATGAGCAGGCATAGAGACCAGCTTTTAAATCCCGACTGTTTGGGAAGTCAAACAGTCCGCATGTTACACTTGTGTGGTGTTGCTCTGGGCTCCCTGTATGGACTTTTCACTGTCATGTAACCCAAATCAAATAAGTTAAAAAGGTTCCTCCTTTCTCCATATCCCTCTGAAGAAGTATGTACACAAGAGGCATTAGCAGGAGAGGAAGCTGAAACACCAAGGACTCAGTCAGATCTTTCCACTAAGAAATCAAGAACTAAAGAAACCTTCTAACTGGAAGAACATATCAAATCCTTACTTCTGAGAAGCACATAGTACATAGCTTGTGATCCTGAAAGAATACAACATTCAGCTTTGCTTTTCTCTAGTATTCACCTCCTGAACTTAGAGAAACAGGTCATTTGCAAACTCCTTTCTCACTAACACCAGCTATGGGGCCCACGCCTACTCACCAAGCACTTTCATTTTACTGAAAGTAATGCAATTTTCTCCCTCACTATCTGTATCTCAAGAGCACTTCAGGCAACAAAAAAAATCCAGAAATCTGGCCATGATAACAACCTACCAAACCTGCAAAACCTCATTCAAACATGGGTAAATACCTCTTGCAATCCTACAAACTTCAGGAGACATTTTAGCAACTGAGCATGCTGAGAAACACCTACCTCAGGCAGCATTCATTGGGCCTTTTTCCAAAGGGCCAGAACTGAAGTTGGGGCAATCACATACATGAGGTGTTAGAGCATCCCTGATTTGCACCCCAGGTGAACAGAGATGGCCAACACCGCTCTACAAGAGAGCGGAACACCATCAGCCATCCTTGCCTAAAAGCACTGCCCGGGCATATGGCTCTGTGGCACATGAGACCATAGAGGCAGCAGCAACCCAGGGCATTCTTTGCGGGTTTTGTTTCTATGCCATGAACTTAGCTAAATAAAAACACAATAATCAGTGACTTTTTTTTTTTTAATAAAGGGTAAAAATGGAGCTCACATGCACAGCTAACCCAACCAAAACCCATGCCTACAGGGAAAGCAAACCATAGCCAAAAACATTATGAATGCTTTAAGTAGAGCAGGCTGCAAGCCAAAAATTTTGTTTGTTTTGTATTTTTGCCTCCTTTTCACCAGCTGAGACAGGAACTAGAATGCCAGAATACCATAAGAAAGCTTTCTCTTACACAATTACTGAACACATCTAAGCAGCAGGTATGAGAAACCTAACCCCAGACAGCTTTTCAGAGGTTTCCATATGGTTTTGCAACTTAACAAGAAAGTACAACTCAATGGACTTCCAAGGAGTCAGACACACTTACGCTCCATTTGTTTGCAGCCAGCAGAACTTAGAGAAGAAATAATGCAGAAAAACACCGCAGGAGTAATAGGAAGTAAGATCTCAAACCTCACTGTTTGCAAATAAAGCAATGATAAACAGACAAATACCACAAGTATAGGGGAAAAAATACCTTTGTCGAATATCTTCATAGAGAAATCCAGAGATCTGGCACCCACAGACCCTAGAAAGAGGCTCCTTTCACTCCGTTTCTCTTACATTGGCTGCCAGCCCTGATTGCTGCGGGCTCCAGCTGTGCTGGCCAGATGGGGGGGGCCGGCACCAGGTCTTCCCCAGGTGTAGGCGCTTCCTGCCTGGCTGTGCCTGCTGCAATGCCAACCTAACAGCCCTCTCCACAGGGAAAAAGGGCAAAGACATCAGTGCCACAAGAGGAACCCTCACCGGCAACCAGGAGTCAAAGCATACTTCAGCTCATGCCTAGGAGAGACTGAAAACTCCAATGTTTACAGTAATTGAAAACTCAACACAGTTAAGCCTTAGGCTTAGCAATTTCATCAATGAAATACACAGAAGTAAGCTTCACGGACAGAAACGTGAGTAAGGCACGTTGTCATGAACCAACTCAAACTGCTTTGCAGCATACCCCACTAAAGTTCCTGAATGTCATGAGCAATTTTTGAATACACAGTGGTTGCATGTATCAAGTAACACCTTGCGCAGCTACTTGCTCTAAGGTGTGGTTACTTCTTTGGCTGTTTACCCACATGGGTTACCCCACGTGTCTGCATTGCTTTAATTAAACTGATGTAAAAGTGATGCAGTTAAATAAAGACAACCAGCACCCACTCGCATCAACATCTGTCAGGATTTGAGGAAACTGAACCAACTTTATAAGCTGGTCTTCTGTAGGGAGGTGAACAGCAATTCACTGATTCAGAGCAGCAAAAGCAAATCCAAACATGAGCAGTGGCTGACCGAGTCCCTGTCACTCAGCAAAAAACATCCCATATAGTCCCTATTCAATAATAGATTTTAAATTAGGTAGTAACAGTCAGGGATGAGTGCATGGTGTTGTTTTGGACAATTTAACTCAATGTGGTGTTTTGTCTTTCTTAAAGAGAGACAAATAGAGGATTTAGAAGTAGGGACACAAAACCGGAGAGAAAACTTTATTATATGATCCTTATCACTCTAAAAGGATAAAACAGAAGTAAAAAAAATCAGGAATGATGCAAGGGAAGAAATCATTTCCCTGTGAAAAGAGACTTTGTGTGGTGGGCCTCTGCCTGCTGGAAAAGAGATCAGTGAGGGTGGATATGATAGTGGCCTTTAACATAACAAATTACAGGAATAAGGGAGGAATTATTCACTGCTTCCACAGTGCTTTCCTTCTAGGACCAGGGAACTTTGGATTAAAGTATCTGAGGTAACATGATAAAAACAAAAATTTCACACAGCAGACTGAAATTCACAGTCATGGGATATTCTAGCTGTCAAAAGAATAAATGGGATCAAAACCAATTACAGAACCACATAAAAAAGAAACGTTGTAAGGGTTATTAACCACGAAGCTGCAACCCTGGCTCAGGAAGTCCCAAAGCACAGAATCAGCCAGCAGCAAGAGACGACGCCAGCAGAAGGCTGATTGCCTATGTTTAATATGTTTTCCCTCAGTAAGCTGTTGTAGGAAAGCAGATATCAGAGAAGGTACTGAATGTTGGGCTGGTCTAAGAGGACTCTTTTGTGTGACAGTAGGAGCTGCAATATATGAATGTAAACATGGGTTTAGTCCTGTACATAAGGAAGCACTTTCATGGCACCCATCAGGAATGTGATGGCTGTTGTGGGAGGCTAGGACAGCCATGCCAGTGGAAATACCCATTAGTTGCCCAGAATTTGTGCTTTTGAAGGAAACCTTGCAACTCAACTGTGTTCATGCTCAGTTGAGCTAATTGGCAAGAAAGTAACTGAAACACCACCACAATTTGCCGTCTACAACTGAATATTGCACTACTGCAGCTAGTTTGGTATTTTATTATATTTTTTTTAATTCATTGCAGATACTTTACTTTGAAAAGCTGGTCCCAATTAGCTCTGTTTAAAATTATTTAAAATGCATCCACACACTGCATTCCTGCTCACTGGGCCACACTACCCACTCTTGCTCTCCAAGAGACAGGACAAGGTTTAGCCCTCCCTTTGCCTCACCATATGGTTTTCTGGGGTCACAAAGGAATTTACTAGTGAAGTAAAGTTTCTAAGAGGTGTTTAAGCACCTCCTAGCATCCTACAGGTCCAGTAAATGGAGCTCATAAGGATGGGGTTGTAGGCTCTGGCTAAGACATGCACCATGCATGCTATAGTAGGCAGCCAAGCTGTGTTGGGCTTCCATGGTGGTTTTCAGCCATGCTCTGGCCTTCTGCCCAGCACCGAGCCACAGCAAAGGACACCCTGAATTAACATGGGGGTTAGTTAGCCTGCACCCATGTTTCTCTATCTTCAGTGATCTCTTAAACTGCAGGGACACAGCTTCACATCCAGACAGCCACTTATACTGTTTAGAGTCCTGAGGTGCTCTTGTATGCTCATGTAAAAACATGCAGGAACCGTGAGGAAAGCATGAGACCTTCAGAGCTGGATTGAGAAACACATCACAATTTATCTTTTCTGCTATAAATATCTCTTCCCATCTCTCTACAACGGGAGGAAATGTCAGTTCAAGGCAGACAGAAATATTCAGACCAAAGGAGTTACATCTGGAGGCTTTTGTGAACTTAACGTAGGCAAGAGAAAAAAGTGAACTTTTTCTCCCCGATTTCCTTTAAACATTGAGCCCTCTGCACCTCCTTGAAAGAATTTAGCACAATAGGAAGAGAAATAGAGGCTCAAATAAGGCTTTACAGGCCCAGGAAAGGTGAAGTGCAGTATAAGGTATGTGTGATTTGCTCCCTCAAGGACTGTACATGTGAAATACAGCTTAGATTTTTTTTGTTTTGTTTTTTAAATGAGGATTTAATGCACTTCATAAACCTGATCTTCTCTTCAACACTTTACCAGCAAACCTGGCAGATTTCAAACAGCTTGCTAAATATGAAAAGTAGGGGAAATTTGTCACCTGAGTTCTTTTTGTAAAGGTAAATAATATAGCTGGTAGCGTTTAACTTTAAAAGTAATGGGCATACAAACCTCATTTTCTTTACTGGCAGGTATTCTTGTTTTCTTAAGAGTTAGAAACTGCTTTTCTTTTAACCCAGGTACTGCCTGGGCTCTGGCACATCGCCAATCCCTTTCAGGGATACCTAAGGAAAACAAAATAAAAGAGAGGAACCTGCTGTTAATTCCCCCCCACCCCGATCTTGCCCCTGCTCCTGGGGTCAAACAAACAAACAAAACCCCAATAAACAATCTTCTAAAAAACCCAGCTGGTTACAATCTTCCCAGTGACTGGAATGAGACACGTGTGTCTAAAGTTGATCAACCTCAGCAGAGGCTCCTTCACCTACAGATTTAGTTTGTAAGGGATTGTGCATTAAATAACTAGAACTGTAACCTTCAAGTCAAGTCCCTAGATGCCTTCTACCTCCTTGGTTTCTCTTGCCTCTCTCAACTCCCCCCGTTGCCTGTATTTCACGGTTGTTGGTCTTTTGTGGCCTCTTTATTTCAAGCCTGAAGTTATATTACATAGTTAGCACCAGTCCTGTTTTTACAAAAGCAATATTTTGTATTACAATAACATTCTGTCCCCTCCCCAAGTCCCTAATAGCATTCTCACACACCCCAGCCAGCCCCAGCACCGATGGTGCCTGCGGCATAGGCAAACGCCCTGGCGCTCTCCATTGCCAATGGCACTTTTAAGAAAATTATTTGTTCTACAGTGTTCAGTAATTTATTCTAATTTTATTTTTCAAATGAGAAGCATTTATTTAGGAAGTACTGAAAGGGCCTTAAGTTTGTTAGAAGGAAATGGAGAAATAGTTAGGGCAACTCAGGCTTCAACCAGCGCTGAACCCTGGCCACCACTAGATCAGAAGGAAGCAGGTGCGTGACCACAGTTATTTCATTGCCCGCGTGTGAAGCAAAAAAAGTCTTCTGTAATCGAATTGTGATTGTGGTTTTGGCTCTTTCTCACACAGTCCCAGACTCAGCAGAGAACCAAAAATGCCGTGTATGAGGCACACAGCACTGCTTTGCAAGGGGCAGGAGTTGAATTCTTGTTTGCCCTCCTAGTCCCCAGGTGTGGCCACCTGCAACTGGATTACAGCCAAATAATCCTGTCCTTTTCTTCTTTCCAGAGCTCTTTCTGTCACTCCTCAGATAGCTCAATAGCTCTAGGAGGCCTTCCCATCAGGGATGAACCTAATTCTACCCAATGAATGGCCTGTTCGAAGCCCTCTTCATTTGTTTGGCCTGGTGGAGCCATGGAATAGCTCTTTAGGTTGGAAAGCGCCTTGCTTAGGGGAACACTTTCCTCCCCTGAACATTAGGGGAGACAAGTGACATGGAGCAATGGTTTTGCGGTGCAGCAAGAAAATGTCCCTCACACAGTAAGCCAGGTGTGAAAATGATCCTGATTTCTCCTTTTAGCACATTTGGTTGCCCAGTGAGATCGAGCCCAAGACAGAATTAGCAGACGGGTCTGCAAGATCAGTGCTGGCAAATGTGGAAACTTTTGCAGCCTCTGGCTCTGGCCCCAGCTCATCCCCACTTTCCATGAATGCCTAATTGAGACAGCTGGCTTTTTCCACAGAGGTGGGAGCCAGTTTCCAGGCAGGGCATATGGGTGTATTCTGTAAGTCTTCGCCTTGTAAAGTTTTAGCACCCAAAAAAGCCTCCCATCTCCAGTATGATTCAGTTGGTTGGCAAGGGAGTGGCTGACAGGCAGGGGTGACGGTTGTTGCTGTTGGCAGGAGAAACCGGAGGGTAGGAGTGGGGACAGAGTGAGTCCCTTTTAAAGAAATGATGCCAACAGCAATCATCTCATTTTGTATGGGGCATGAAACCCTCTCAGACTATTACACTACAGTCCCTGCAAGACAGAACACGCATGTACAGCCATGGCACAGGCGGCAGCATAAGGCGGCAGCATGAGGATGAGGGTGTAGACACTGCAGCTGCTCATCCTTTGATGACACGTGGCACTCCTGGTGCGACCTGTGACCAGGCCTCCAACAGCTGCCCTGTCCGCCATGTGCTGGAGACCACCTGCAACAGCCATGGGACTCACCTGGCACTCACACTTCTACCTGCAGCACCTCAGCCTGTGG